CTTGTGATCTTCATTCCCAGATTCTTTCCCATAAATCTCTCGCGCGCAGCTCTTTCGGTGTGACAGACACAACATTACTAAAGATCTCAGGTATTTCCTCAAAATTACAGTTTTTCTGCCTCGATCTTCCCGTGCGATTAATTTACTTCGGGAAAGACATTTTTTGTTCAGCTCTTGCTCACCAATTATCGAAATTAGAAGGAATTCTTCACGGTTTTGTACGCTACGATTCTAAGATGTACACTCATAATTCATGTGAGAAACGAGAGAGCTTCCAAATGGCCAGTAGCTCTGAAGGGAATGCATATATGTAACAAAATTCCATCAATTCATTAACACCAGCAGAAATGCGGCTGTTGAATAACACAACAGAGGCCAGTGGTCACATTTTAAACAGATTACAGAAGAGAAACTTTAAACCTTTGACATGGAGAAATTAAAAGAATAATTATAGTTCATCCCACGGATAATGGCTTCATTGATAAATCAGGCAAAATGTAGTACTTTTAAATGTCATCTCTCTCTCTCTCTCTCTTCACCACAGTTTTCTCGTGACATTTACAGAGAGAATATTGTCTCACGATGGGTGGTTGAAGAAATATTGAGATGAGGAGGAAATTAAATGGCCGATTAAGTGGCGAAAGAGAGTGCAAAGTGTCGGTTTGTCCATGATGGCAGTGGCTGAATTAAAATGATAATAATAAACACACACTTGGACTGAGACGAGCAATTTTTATGTTGTGGGTTTTGCGTCATAATAGTCTCCATGTGGCTTGATCTCAATGAAAATAAAATGGCCAAATTTACGATAATTGTGCACAATCTCCCGGACTCGTCTCCTCCAGTGGCAATCATCCGTGAGAATGGCCCTTGTGTTGCCAAGCCATGAATGAGGGACCAAATGGAGATCCGGTGGATCCCTCGAATCTGCTTCACACCCAAAACCCTCTCGGCTTCGGCTTGAGTCACTGTGGGAATGGGCAGTGTTCTGCATATTGCGCTAAAATCCATAATCCTCTGACGCAGGCATCCAGGATCTCCTTGTGACTGTTATCACTGCTCGGCCACACATTCACCGGACTCAAGTGAGCCTGCATCGGTGCCACACAAATCATCCTTTTCTCAGCGACAGTCCGTGATTGTGTGAGTGTGATTTTGCAGTGGAAATTTGGCTAGAATTTCAATTAAAAATTCACAAAATGTCATAATATCGGTGAGAATTTAGAGAAAATTCTATGCGCGCCACTCTGAGCAAGCGAAATGCGACATGGTGTGATATGGGAATTCATCGTGGGGTTCATCTCATATTAATTTTATTGTTATTCAACATTCCCTGCGCGAATATTAATTTCCAGTGTAGAATTTCTACGGCTTTTGCCACCTCAACAAAATTCTCCATCAGCAGAAGCTCGATGGAATGCTAGAGAGAGAAATTGAGAGAAGAAAAATTCCAATCATTAAATCAACATGTCAAGACATAATTTCAGTGGAACTACCACATTATTTACCAAGAGGAATCACCCATATAATATGAACTCTAGTGCGAAATTCCCAGTATTTGTAGGTGATTTTGTCACAATTTATTATCGAAATAATTTAGAAGAAGGGAAAATGTGTATTTGTTGGGATATTTTATTTTGTATACATGAAGTATGTACAATTATGTACATAAACATGTGCAATATAGATGCAATAGATAGTGAGGAATAGCAAGAACGTTATTCTCTCATGTGGGAAATGTTCATATATTGAAATATTATGAATTTTCTTGCCATGAATGCATTGTAATTTGCAGCGAAAGCCTGGTGTGATTATTTTACAGCATATACATGTGAAACCCCTTCATTTAAGTTCTTGTTTGCACAGCAATATTAATTATTTTGTCAGAGGCACATGGGAAAGGATTCTAACACCGCAACTCCACTCAGTATTTCCACAACATCTATCTAATAGATTTCAAAAAAAAAAATCAAGTACATAGCATGACTGCAAATGCCGCAGAAGTATTTGATTGGATTTCAAATTGAATGCAGGAGGAAACTTTGAAAAAGCTAAAATTAACAGACTTGAATTGCAGAGAGTCTATTGAGAGCACCCACATAATTATCCACTGCACTGCTTTTCAATAGTCACGCTGTGAAATCGATGTCGAACGGTTCGTCAAGTGTGTGATTTAATTTGAAATTTTCCTCGTAAATCATTTCTTTGATGAACTATTATGAATTTTCTGTAGATAATCTCGCAAAAGTCACCGCAAAACCCTTCATCTCTTCGCTCTCTTTCTCTGTGTCAAATGAAATTTTTACAAAGTGCGCTTCCAAAAGAGAATCTCTGAGTGACTTTGAAAATTGCAAAATGAACGTTACCATGACGACAAATTAAACTTTAATTGGCGGTTGGTTAAATTGCCATCAGTTTGACAGAGTGCACCATTTTATTTCGGAAAACAAGATAAATAATGCTTCTCTTATCTTTTACACCAGCAAAAAGGCAACTCAACGACAGGGGGCAATTAACAATTTTGGCTTTTTTCATAACTTGTCGGCGAAACATTCAAAATGCCATCTGAGGTTGTCAAAATTGCTAATGTGCCAATATATTTCTTCAGAATCTCACGCATTCGCATTGGGATGAAATTCACGATGATCGGTAATTTGACCATTTAAATTCATTTTCGTTCTGTTATTCTTTTATCCTCTTTGTGTATATTGCCAAATAAATACGTATCTGACACAATTGAATACAAATAATATGGAAATATATTGCATTCTTTTGTGACAAGACATTTCGTAGTATTTTCCAGAAATTTAATATGCGCGTGGCTGTTAATGGATATTGAAAAACACATCGAAAGTCTTTTGTCAAATCATTCTAACCGAAAAATGATTCCAAAGTCAAAGGAATTTCCTGTTTCTCCGCTGAATTTTTATTTCTTAAACTGTTTTCCGCTGTGATGAAATTAGAAAAATGACTAAATTGCTTCTCAACATTCAAAAATCGTCTCTCTGGAGGACCAAATCTCAAAAGGCACAACCAAATTGCAATTAAATCTCCTCAAGGAAATTCCATTATCTTCAGTGCTATTATTACCGCCAAGCTGAAGGGAATTCTTTTCCCAAAGCCAAAGTTAAAACAGTCGTTTTCAGCTCTTCGGCAGAGTAGGTGGTATTAATGTGCACTGGGTAATATATTGCTACAGTCACGACGATGCTCCAGAATGCGCTTTTACTTTTCTCAGAAATAATCCATCACGCTGTTGCACCAAGATCTTCGATTTAATGTGATGGAAATGAGCCAAAAGGGATTGCACGCTGAACAGTGAAGAATTCCGATTGCAAGATAATCAGATTGGACATGGAAGATTGTAAATAAGCTCACATTATATTGACAGTTTCTTCTATAGGTGAAACTTTTAAATGACTACAGAAACTTCCGTTAACAGTCACATCTTGAAATCATCCACAAGCGCGATGCTCAATTGGAAGTTGAAAGAGACTTGGAGAGATAATGCAGAGTATGTCGAAAGGCAAGTCCATTAATTCCCCAAAGTGCACTTGTGATCTCGCTAACAATGCTATCGTGTAATTCAATAATTGCCCAATTTCCCATCTCAACGCTCAAACGTCCTATCATATCAACTGAAGAGTGTTTCAAATACCCGAAGTGTTTGCTCTCAAGATGCCATTCCCCGAAAGAATTTCCCCAATGTAACTGTGAGAATCGACTGTGAATATTTAAATTCCAAATGCGTCTCTCTTACGTTCTCACTCCTTTCCTCAATGGATGCTATTTCTGGCAACGCCGAATGTTTTGAGGGAAGTTCGTGTGGCACAGGAAAGAGCAGAAAAAAGAGGAAGAACCAAACAGGAGGATCGCACGAGACAATTTTGCCAAGCCATTGAACTTGTAAACTCATTGACAAGGATATAATGCGAAAAAGGCACAAAGCTTAAAAACTCCTTCCGATTTAATCAGTTCCACTAGCTTAAAATAGATTCACCGGCATTATTTTTATGAGAGACTGGCGATAGGGGAGAAATTGGCTGGATGGCTCAGACCTCACACAGCACCCGCTCTGTCTCTCCTCGACTTGACACACATATCTCAGGGACACGCTAAGCGCAAACATTCGCGACTCGGGGGTGAGGGTGAAAGTGGAAAAATTGCAGAAAATCACGATACACACCAAATATTCTCGCTGTCAAGTTTATGCCAGTGGAGCAGAGGTGAAAAGGTGGCACAGCAGATGCGAAGGTCTCTCCAGGAGTGTTGCGGTGCTCCTCGCGAGGGGCGGAGGAACTCTTTCGCTCCCTCAGAAGGTGGCGAAACAAAGAGTATGGCAAGGAATTCCCTGAGAATTAACTTCCTCCTGTGAATTAATTTTCACGTGGGAATTTCAAATAACTCCCTCTGACGACGGGAATGAACACAGCACGAGAGAGAGAGACTACAATTTTCCTCCTTCTGCTCATAGCCATTCAAACTCTGGGAGCACAAAATTATGCAGATAAATGCTGGAGGAGACACGCAGGAAAATAAATTCCACGGACATTGAAGTGAAATGACCTTAAATAAAATTCAATTAAAATGAAAATGTCTGCGTAGGGGAAATAACAGAAATATGACTTCACGAAGTGGACACGCTGTGCGGATTTTATTCTTTTGCTTACTCAGATCATTCTTAGGACTATGGAAGGAGAAAAAGCCAGCGGAAATAGCGACAATATACATTATGCACATGATATATATGAGTTTAAAGCGCTCAGGAATTTTTAATGTATTATAAACTGTATCTTTAATCTACATATAACCCACATCATTAAAGATTTCACATACATCGGAGGATTCAATGGCTCAGAGACGAATCAAGCAAGTTTTTCTTTTTTCCTACAACAATGAATAAAAAATATTCTGTCAAGTTGAGAGTTTGGTGCAGCAAAATGAAGCACTATGCAAAGTCTTAATTTGTAATTTTAACATTTTATTTGTACAATGTGTACCTCTCATGAGATGCTCCCAACCGCCAGAAACTCGTTCTTGTGCTCAAGATTTCAAACACACATACACTGTGGTGGAAGAAACGAGTGCCCGAGTTCAATATCCTGATCCCCTTGCATCTGAGACCTCTTGGCCGGTATTTCTGCACGCCTCACACAATCACACAATTTGCAAATTTCACTTCTTGGCATTCGGGGTGCACAAGAAGTCGCTGTTCGCACACAGAAGCTGGAATTCGTGTGCAGCTGCCTTGGAAATAGGCCTCTTGCGTGAGTCTCTCTCAGCACTGGATTATTAATCACTCGTGTGACACAATTTCACCCATTTGCACAGCACAAACATTTGGCATTTTCGGTCACAATACACTTTATGGACACCTCTTCCGGCACTCTGGCCCTAAATTAATCCACCGCGGGGGTGTCTGCACGATGGCCAAATATTGCCTCTCACACTCGTCACTCTAATGGACAGCACACGCGACTGAACTGTGGGACGTCCAGAAGATACTCTGGCTGCTCCAGCGTCACGTGAAGTCACACAATCCACCTCAATGGAATCCCGCACAAGAGTTCTTCGGGGGAGTCGCAAGACGACCTCGCTGGTGAGTTCAACGTGCCGAGAAGTGCGCGCACGTCTCGACTTCGAGGCGTAACAACATCAACTGACTGCCAAAGAGGCACCAGCGAGCCCCAAAAGTCTCTCACACCGGAGCACGGCGGGCGGCTGGGTGGCCGCGAGAGAGCGCACGTTCGACGCTGGGAATTCAATTTACCCAGACACATGGCAGCATGTCAAACCGCCGGCGAAGATGCGATTGCGCAAATCGAGAGCGGGACTCTCTGCTGAGAGAGAGTGGCACGGCTGTGGCTGAGGAATTTGCAATTTGGCGAATGGAGGACACAAGTGAATGCACTTCGCGGATGCCCCTCGATACGCCACTTACACACGCCACCGGCCGTCGTCGCGTTCTCAAACGCGGCCCGCCGCGGAGATCGCAGCCAACCACAAATTTCAATTCACCACCAATTGCATTCCGGAGCACCCCGTGGATGGTGTAGTTGCACCATGTAAATATCCGAGGATTAATATACATCATTTATCAGTGGGTGAGATGTGAAAGAGCAGCTCCATGGATTGTCATTTATCTTGGATGCACCCGAAGATGGACCCCCACTCTGCAAATCTCAACTATAAATGACCATTGTCTGGGAATGAATTAATACGAGTTCCTCTGCTGTTTGGGTGAATGGCTGAATGCAGTCGTGTGAGTTGGAAATTTCGAAATTGGGAATAAGGCATCCAACAAGTGTGAGAACCACATAGAGTAATCATTTAACAGCGCAGAAGGTTAATCACAATGTTGCAGCAGCATCGCAAATTTGAATGTTGCAAGCAATCATATATTTTATAGGGAATCAGAATCCTTCCCTGGATTCTGAATCCGGGATTTTGGCGGTGGAAAAGTGCTTCGCCAAATTGTCTTGGAGTTATCGCTGAAATCGTGCGCCCACAGTGGCTTGAGTGATGAACCCCTTAATCCTCGCGATTGCATGCGGCTCTTCGTGAGAGGCAGTGAAGCGATGGCGCGGCCTCGCGCATTACAACTGTCGGCCGGTTGAATTGGATGGAGGATGCTGCAGCGGATGCGACTAGGATTGCAAGTGTCTGGCGGGATCGAATAGTCTTGATTTGAATCCGAGTGCAGTGGCGCGATAAAGGGTGGCGGAAAGGAAGCCCAGATGGTTGAGAGCAATACTCGGCGCGCTGGAGGCGTGCTGAATAATAAAGATTCAATCATGAGAGAGCCGACGAAGAGTAGCCTGGAAGCTGCGGTGAATTCATCAATTTATAATTTTCAATGTCCTCCAGAATTTGCTCACTCTTTTTACCATCATTACGTGGAATATTCTTCAATTCACGGAACGTGACGCGATTTCAGCTAGAGAAGTGGAGGGCTTTTTTTGCCAAATGCACAGCGACGAAAGAAAGTGGCGGATTGTGGGCAGAGTTTGAACAAACGCTGTGCTTTTTGGTTTATTGTTTTTCCCATCCTTTGCTACATTTCAATCAATTAAAGTGGAATAAGTTGCCGGAAGAGAAATCTAAGAGTGTATTTTACAATATATCTCACCGCTGAGAAACATAGAAATTTATTGCATTATCGAGCATTTTGATCGTGTTGAAGAAAAAAGGGGAGACAGAACTTTTGCTCACCTCCACAAATCGTGAAATCCTCACTGTTCCACACTCTTCAGCGCCGCAATTGCCACATCTCGAGAGATGAGGAGAAAATGCCAATTATATGCATTAGTACATGGCTTAATCCTCTTACAAGTCTGACTGGCGAAGTCGTTCTTCAACTATTTGTTCCTCCGTCGCGAAATGATGAAGTCTCTGTGTAAGAACTCAATGGAGAAATGGGTTCAATTATCCACTTACAGAATTGCAAGGCGATTATCTCCTTCGCTTTTACCTTCACCGAAAGATCATCAATCAATTAATTAAGCAGTGAAACTGAGGAGAGCGAAATTGAATGAAAGAAGTCACAAAATCACTCGCAGAAATGACTTCTGAGGCTTCCGAGAGAAAACCCTAATCCTGCAACGCGCGCTGTTCAGCTCAATTTCAGTTCCGCATCTCCACATATCTCATACAATTTGAATTATTAATCAAAATCGTATGGAGAGCAGCGCATACGGGGAAACCCTGTGGATTCAGGTATTTGTTCTCGGGCGTGTCTTGAATGGCAAAAGGAACAGCGATTAACAGTAAGGCATTGCCACACAGTCGATCATACATATGTACATATTTCGATAGAAGAGAGCATCTCCATAAAATTAGCTACAGATACATAATTATACGTGAAAAGTAATGTAAATATGTATACTTCGTACATATGACTATATGTATAAAATATTTTATTCAACAAGACAATTTTGGAGGTTCGTTTCTTGTGGCACAACCCAATCGTTCCCGGATTCGCCATAAATCAATTTTCGACCTTTCCTTCGTGAATTACATGTGAGACAAAGAAGAGGCGTTACCACGTACGACGGAGAATCATTTCACAGTGTGAGCTTCGAATCACGACAATTCGGAGCATCACAGTCGCGAGAGGAGAGCAAGAAGTTGGTGTATTGAAAAGAGGGCAAGAGGTCAGTGTTTTCTGAGCCTCAGTTGAGTTGCCCAAGAAGGTATAGATTACAATGCAAATGTATATGTAGACAAAACGTTTAAGATGTGAATTAGGTAAGAACGGTTTTACCGTCCCATTAGTAAGCATAAATGTCAGAATACATTATTAAATGAAAAAAATTATCCTTCTCCACAGCCCAATGAGTTGCATGTTTTCACTCGCTTGAGTTTTTCACCCACATTCAGCAGCTATTCAAAGCGAAATAAATCCCGTGCAGCCAAGGAGGATTCCATGGTAAAATAAATCTTAAATACATGTTAAGGGCACGAGAGGAACGTGAGAGAAAGAAATGAGAGCTTTCGTGAGATTTTAGTGGGTGGTTGAGGGTATACTTTCAAATAAATACGTCTACCATCCGCAGTCGTTTAAAGTTAAGGTGGGAGTCGATCCATTATTTAAGTCTCACCAGAAAGGTCCTTCTGCAACCTATCTTTTGCCCATTCTTACGTGAACGTGCGGATGGAAAAGGCTGTGGAGCACAAAGTGCTATCTGTTAGATTAATTTCCCTGATGTGACTTTGCCACATTAGAAATTCCACGGAAGCGGAAATCGAGGTCTGTTAGTCGGAAGAAATTTTCCATTCAATAGATGCGATCACAATCTTACTTCACACATGCTTGTCTGGAGAGATTCTGTACCAGAGATCTTGTGCATGATCAAAAGAGCAATCTTCATTGGACAATAAACTTGATTCCTTTATAAATCAAAGGACATGTGTTTTAATTAATGAATACCCTCTCTCTCTCTCTCTCTCGCTCAAGAGCGGAAAATTGTATGGTCATTGTGTTACCAAGTCACCGCACAAGCAAGGTGTTTTCCCCAAAAAGTCACCACCAGCACAACGCAAGCGACAAAGATGGGGCAATTTGCAAGTGAGGGTGGAAAAAATTCAGCAGGAAGATTACGTGGAGAAACTTGCAAAGTGTTGAATGAAAAATCTTGAATTTCTCATCATTTCGGGAGAGCACACGGCTGTCGTGGTTCTCGCAAGGGAAGTGATACAGCCATGACGAAAGCACTGCAAGCCATCAGAGCATTGAGGGTGAGTTTTTCATGGGACGTGCGATGAGTTTTTCCCACCCAAAACTTGCCCACTTTCGCACTCGCCACGTGTTTTATGTGACGACCTGTGGAGGGCACATGTTCAGCATCCAAATTGAAATGGTGATCATGTGTTGAATGAAGTGGATACCGCAGCGGGTGGCTCCTCTGGATCTCGCAGAATCTCTCCCGAGTGCTTCATCATGTCAAATATTCACCGCCATGGATAGTGGAGGAGAATCCCAATGTTTGAATGAGGGTCTCGTGTGATACATATGATTTCCGTTCAATTTCTCCAAGTCTTTCCTTGCACTGCATATGGATGGGAGCTTTTGAGGGGGATTTGCATAAATTTGCACTTGAATAGAAAAGCAAACTACTGACTATTGTATGTAGTATGGAACTTTGAGATTTTCAAGAAAGTGCAGCACGTTTGAAGGTTTATTTGGTGTTTAGTTCACTTTGCTCCTTGAATGTAACATTATGTCCCACTTCATGTCGTGGGTTGATAAAATTAAAAGTGACTTTCAAACATTGCATTATTTATGAGTGAAGAAGGGTTAATTGAGAGATTGCATTCACATGTTGCCCATTCTTGGGTGATTTTGCTGTCGCATCAATTAACGCCAATCTCAATTATCTCCATCTTCATCCCGGCCGCCGCCTCTGTCTTCAGCCACGCAGGGCTGCGGATGGGCGACTGGAGGACTCAGTGATGTGTGATTGAGTCTAGTCTGTGATGAGTCTGAGGTGTGGGCTGTGAGAGTGTTTTGTTGTTGTGTCTCATTGAGAGTGAAGAGGGTGCGCTGAGTGCCACGTAGCAGCAATTACAAGCGCCTGGTACATTCCTCCCCCATTAAGTACCGTGTCGTACAGCCTTGACCGGGTGGCCACTGGATGGGTGTGCGATGAGCCAGAGGAGCCTCACTCCCACCGCTCCGTGCCAGATCTCAGAAGGGGTTGCCTTCGACAAGGGCGGGAGGCTGAGATAAGCCACTCATGCACGTTTATGAGATAAATTTTGGCGGTCCTCTCCGCTCTCCGGAGGACGATATATCTCGACGAGTCATTGTTGTTGTGTAATGGACATCGGGGAAACCTCACCAGTTACACCCTCACTCACCGGATTTCACAAAGGCGAATTGCGTTGTGGCTGTATTATCTCTGCTTTGTAGCACAATTTAATTTTTAAGATATCTTTGAGACATTTGAGACAATCTATGGCGTTGCAACTTGAGCTACACTGTCTTATATTTTCTTTTGTATATTAAAAAGATGGTGATGGATTTACAAGATTCCAACGTTTATCAATAATTACGGCAATAATTTTAAACTTGATAGTGAATTCTAAAGGCTTCGGAAAATGTTCCGCTTACTTTCCTCCATATAATACTCAAAGTCA